GACCAGGTTCCTTATTACCAAGGAGAGAGAACTGGTTTTCTTAAGAAGACCATGGGTCACATTAGGAGCCATTTATTTTGGGGAGATCTTAAGACCCACCAAATGAGACTGTTAGACTTTGTACTTCTTGAGGAAACTCTTTGCTCCTGAAACTTCAGCATGTTAAACAGGCACAAGGCCATTCCTGAGAAGTTTGTCTAGGTAAGTGGAAAAAAGGGATTCTGAGGGTGGATCTGTTTATATTTGTTTGTAAATCTGCTATGTATTTTTCAAACATTTGTTCAATTTTAAAAACTTTATTATCTGAATTCCCATTTGTCTCTCAAAGCAGAGTTCTCTAATTTTATATAACATAGTGTCTAACTTCCCTAGAAACATTGTTTGACACTTTAAACTAGTACTTCAAAAATTTTAAAGTTTTTCATCAAATATAAATGTTTTTGGTTTTGTGCTCTGGGGTGACAGAGCATTTATAAATAGAGGCAGAATATGGGGGTAGAGGCAGAAGGGAGGATTCCAAGTTTGATACCTGAGCTATACAGAAAAACCTTGTCTAAGACAAAATAAACAAAAAACCCAAAACAAGAGCAGCAACAAACGCTGTCCCCCCCACCCACCCAAAAGAGTGGGGCAGGTGCTGTGGTGGGAAGGTTTAGGTATATAATCCCTACATTGAGGTGTGGAGTTGGCACGGAATGGAAATTACAAATTCAATCCTAGCCTTCACTAAAGAGAAATATTTTCTTGTTTTAAAATAAAAAGTAAAAATGGCATAGTGGCACAGTTTTGTGGTGTATGTCCATGCAAAATGCCATCACTCTGAGGGGGAGGGATGAAATATGGAGGGATGGCAAGTTTAAGCACAGTCTGGGATCTATATCATGATCTTCCTTTAAATGGCATGGTGGCTTAGTGGGCACTGTGTTGGCACAGGACTGTAATCCTATCACGGGGAAGTGGAAATAGGCAGAGGGAACAAAAACCATGAGGTTTGAATCAAATCTGGGCTAGGTAGAGAAACGTTGCCTTAAAAAAAAAAAGATGCAAACCCCCTGCTGAGAAGGGGGACTGCATGGTGACGCAAGAGTATTAAGACAACACTGATTGGTGGAGGTGGAGACACGAGAGTACAAATATCGCGAGATTGAGTATCGCTCCTGGGCTATATATAGCGAGGCTTTCTCACCAGGCCGAAAAGCCTGGAGGCTGCAAAGTGAGATGGAACACGGCGGTGTGTTAGAACATTTCTACAATTCCAGCCCTGTGAAATGGAGGCCTGAGGAGACAAGAATTGTGAGTGTCAGCTTTTTTTGACCTATGGAGAGAGACCTTATCTCAAAAGTAGTTAATTAAAAGCAAAAATGGCTATCTGTGTGGTGGGGGCAGGGCTGTTCTGCCCACACTGAGGTGAAGAGATAAGAGGAGGGTGCGATGCTCACAAGGTTTAGTTTGGGTTATATACAGAGACACTTTTTTGTGTGTTTTTTTCAAGAAAAAGAAACGAAACTTAGTAGAGCCTGGCACAGTGGCCATGACTGGCTGATGACTGGCTGATATTCTCACGTGTACAGGGGCTTGGCGGGACCCAAGAAAACTTCTAGCTACAACTGGCAGTAGTTCATTCAGTGTCACAATTGTGTAACTTCAATGTTGGGAACTGGAGATGAGAGGACATGAAGTTCCCTAGCCTGAGTGTCTCAAAAGGGAGGGAGGGGGGAAGATGAAAGGCAGAGGGGAAGAAGGAGGAGTGAGGAGAGAGGGAGGAGGAGGAAGAAAAGTGGGAGGAAGGGAAAGAGAAAGGGACAGGAGAATGGGAGAAAAAGGCGACAGAAAATCTGGCATGGTGCCTGGCCTTGTGGCAGGCAGTTGGTTGGCATACACACTTGTGCTATCAGAACTGGGAGAGGGAGGGAAGGGGAGGAGAAAGGAAGAAGGAAGGTGAAGAAAAGCTGGATGGAAGCAGAAGCAAGGGTCTTGAAGGCAGCATGTTTAGAAAGACAGTGAGTTTGAGCCCAGCCTGAGATACTTAGAAACACCTTCTCCCTGCCCCTCCCTCAAAAAAGTAAACCTGGCTTAGTTACAAGGTGACATGACAAGCAGTATGGTAGTGCTAGTTGGAGATGGTAGGGTACTTCCTGGGATGTATAAAGAAGTCTCACCTTATTTTCATTAGTAAACTAGGCATGGCGAGACGGTGGACAACATGATGGTGCTATGGTGGAGAGCTGAGTGTACAAATATGGTGAGATTGAGTATATATTGAGATATGGGAAATTTTTTTTAGAACGGGGTCTTTATATATCCTCTGGCTGGCCTGGAACTTGATTTATAGACAGGGCTGTGCCTTGAACTCAGAGATGTGCCTGCCTCTGCCTTCCAGGTGCTGGAATTAAAGGTGAGCACCACCACACCAGGCCGTGAGATTGTTTTGATAGAAATTTAAAAGTAAATCTGGCATTGAGGTGGCAGTGTACTGGCACAGTTCAAGCATCTCTATACTAGGAAATAGAGACTTGCGATGAAAATTGTGAGTTTGGGTCAAATAATAGGGCTCTTGTTAAAAATAATAATAAGGTGCTGGAGAGATGGTTCAGTGGTTAAGAGCACTGGCTGCTCTTGCTAGAGGACCAAGGTTCTGCTTCCCAGCATCCACATGGTGGTTCACAGCTGTCTATGGCTCCAGTTTCAGGACATCTGAGGCCCTCTTGTGCCTTCTTGGGCATCAGGGACTCACATGGTTAACATGTGTACATTCAGGCAAAACACATATACACAGAAAATAAAAATGAATTTTATAAAAGCTGCACATGGTGGCACACTTCTTTAATCTCAGCACTCAGGAGGCAGAGGCAAAGGGAATTTCTGTGAGTTTGAGACCCATCTGGTCTACAAAGTGAGTTCCAGGACAACAGGACCCCAGATATTACACCAAGAAACCTTGTCTTGAAATAAACAAAATGATGATGATGATGATGATGATGATGATGATGCAAATAAACTACAGTAGTTGCCAGCACAGTATTGGCAGAGGATTGTCTGTGTTATATGTGAAATCACACCTCAAAAAAAAAATAATAAACTGGGTGTGTTAACTAAGTGGGCAGCATGGATCCATAGGAGTGTTAACCAAGGATTCATTGATGGAGACAAGAGGGTACCATTATAGTGAGACTCAGCCCTACAGTGGGCTATAGAGACTTTACCTAAACAAGTGGTAGCAGGGGGAGGATGATGGGGAGGAAACTGAGTTCTAGTGAGATGGTGGACAGTGTGTTCTTATTGTCACTTTTCTGAGAAAGTTTCTCAAAATAAAGAAGGGAGTTGGGAGTTTAATCAGGAAGCTGGCTTGTTTGTCTGCTGGTGAATGGTGATAACAGGCCTCTAAGCCTTGGATGTATAATGACTTTGTCTCAGAAGAGAAAACAATTGAGGAGGAAGGGAGGGAGGAAGGGAGGGAGGGAGGGGGCTGGATGGTGCACATGATGGCACAAGGCTGCATAGTGTATTCCCTGTCTTCTGTAGGAGGCAGTGGGAGGATGCCATGATCTAGGCAGTCATGATTTGCAGAGAGATGCAATGTCAATGAAATACAAATTGTGTGTTGTATTATGAAATATGACCTTTAGTAAAATGTGTAATCTCATATAAAATGGAGAGTTACAAAGAAATTTTTTTTCAATATTTGGAAAGTATTTTAACACTGCTGGTTAAATTGCAGGATAAGTCAAAACATTACAATGCACAGTTAACAAGTGTTATAAACCTCATTGGGGAATGTTTTATATTTTTCATTTGCCAGATTTCTTGCTTTTTGATAGAGGACCAAATATAATTTCTGACATAGTACATGGTAGGTGTATCTATTCTTGTTAAGAATACTATCAACCATTTGTGGAAGGATTGCAGTTATTAAATTTTCTTTGCCTTAAAAATAGAATATATTTTGATTTTATTGACCATTTCTCAATTACTTTATGACCAGAGAAGCTTTGCATAAAAATATCTCCTTTTGAATTTTTTACTTTTATGATTTAATATATAATGTTTATAAATTTTCAATGGTAGTAAAGAAACCCTGTTGTCTGTTGTAGTTTAGAGTTTAATATATTAATATTTTTACACTGCTGATTATGTTGCTAGTTATTCTTATTTTTTGTATGTATGATTTGTCTTCTAGTGAGATAGCAATAGTAAAAGTCCTAAATTTGAGTTTTTGGTTTTGTTTCCTTATACCCTCCATAGTTTTTACTTCACAAAAGTTACTATTTGATAATAAACACTACTGTGGTTTGTTTACGTGTGTGCAGTTACAGGGCTCGCCTACATGTGTACACATGCATAGAAGTCAAATTCAGGTAAAGTTCCTTCAGAGCTGTCCACTTTGGTTTTTGTGCCTTTCACTGGGACCTAGGCCTCACTGAGTAATCTAGGCTGTTTGACACTCACAGGGATTCTCCTTTCTCTGCCTTCCCCGGGGCTGGGATAATTTGTTTTTACCACTATTCCCTGAATGTTTTATGTGGGTTTTGGGGATTAAAATTTACACACTGTACTGTCTACCCAATATGACAGCAAAATTTCCTGAATTTTACAGAATCATTATGCATTTGGGGATTCAACACTAAAATTGTTTTCTTGTCTTCATGTATTGGTGCGTGGATTTCTCTGTGCTGATCTGAGTATATTATGCTGTCTTGTTTCCATTTTTTAAAAATTTCTACTCTCCTTAATTTTGTTTGCTTTGTACAACTTTCTTCCTTTGTACTTGGGGAATTTTGAGGCTATGGAGAATAAAATTACTGCTTGCAATATTTTTCTTATTAAAGAGAGCTGAGTTTTGCTCTATGAGTGAAATTTGAAAGTATTTTACAGAAGCAGATTAATCTCATTTCCTTTAATTTATGTGAAGTCTATGCTTTCAATGTTTAGTCTTTTATTGTTATGCATTATATTTGCCATATATATCTATAAGTTGTGTAGTCTCCATTTTTATACACACTTACACACACATGCATACATGCACACAGAGATATTTTAGAAAAACTGCTTTTTTTAATTTTAGCACTTATCTTTGTTTTTGTGGCATTGTAAATAATAATAGTCTTATATTTTCATAAGTATTAGTTACTTCTGTCATTGCTCCAACCAAATACCTGACAAGAAGCAAATTAAAGAAGTGGAGATTTAGAAAATATTCAGAAAAATGTAGTCCTACCTGGCAGAGAAAGCATGGCAGCAGGAAAATGCACAGTATGGATCAACAATCAGGAAGCAGAAAAAGGTAAGTGATACTGTTTAGCTGACTTTGTATCTTATTTTATTTGTTTCCCTTTGTTCTTCAAGTTTTGGTGTCTGTGAACATGTTGTACATGTGTATATGGGGGTACACTTAGTGTATGGGTGCATGAGCCCATATGCAGAAGCCAGTGGAAGTACCTTTCTTCATCACTCTGAGCCATAATTTTTTCTTTTACAGATAGGGTTCTCATTGAACTAGAAACTCACTGTTTCAACTAGGCTGGTTGGTCAGCAAGCTCCTAGTATCTGCCCATCTCTGTCCTCCAATACAGAGATTGCAGGCATGTACAGTAATTTCTAATATTTTATGTGGGTGGAATGGATTTGAACTCATATCCTTACAATAAAACAGCAAGTGCTTTTACCAACTGAACCATCTTCTCAGCCCCATGCTTTCTAACTTGTTATTCATTTTGAGTCCCCAATCCTCTGGAATGGTGCCATGTACATTTAGTATAGATCTCTTCTCAGTTTCTGTGGAAATGCCTTCACAGACATGCCTAGAGGTGTGTGTCTTAGGTAACTTCAAATACAGTTACCTATTTGTGTCATTTATATTTTTCTTTTTTAAAAAATGTTAAATTATGTGTATATGTATGCATCTCTGTATAGGTATATGCCCTTGAATGCAGGTGCCTTCAGAGTCCAGAAGAGGGAATCAGATACCCTGGAAATTGAGGTACACAGATATCACAGTGAGTGACCTGACATGGGACCCAAACTGATCCTCTGTAAGAGCAGTACACAGTCTTAACCACTGACCGATTGCTCCAGATTCAATTTTCAGGTATTACTTTTTGTTATTTAGCTTTTGCCTGTTGTTTTCTTAGTCATTTATTGATTGCCTTAATTTTGCTTTGTCAGTGTATATATTAACATTTATATATGAATCATATTTATGGAAGGAGTTTCTACTATAAGCCAGAGAACTTACCAAACATATTCTAAAACAGCTATAGCAATCATATGTTATTCTTTCTCTGGTTGTTTTGCCCTTTTTTTGTTGTTTTTTTTTTTGTTCCTGGGTGTTTTAGTTTTTAAATTACTATCTTCCATTCACCCACTTACCTGTTCATGTTCCTACCTTGTTACCTCCCTGCCTGCTTTTAACCTTAGGCCTTTTACTAGATTTTAGTGTACTGAATGGATGGAAAGAGTTTCCTACATCTCTTTTGTCCCACCTTCTCTTGTCCCTCTCTTTTTCCTCTCTCATAGTACTTCTGCCATTTATGGTCCTAAACCTTCCCTTCTATTTTTGATCCTCTTTCTCTCTTCTTCCTCTCCTATTCCCTCTTCCCTTCTCTCTCTCTCTCCAGCTTCTTTCTTCTCCTCTTCTCCCTTTCTCCCTCAACTCTGCTCACCCATTTTCCTTCAATTATAATTTTCCTCCCTTCTCCCATTTCTTGTTTCTCTCCCTCTGGTCTTCCTCTCTCCTTCCATCACCTCTCCCCCTCTGACCTTCTCTCTTGGTTCCCTCTCCCTTTCCCAGTCCTTATTTCCCCTTCTCCTCTTCCTTTTTCACCTCCCTCTACACCTCCCCTACCCTTACAATATCTGTACATTCTTCTTCTCCCACCTCAGCTGTCATTTTCCTGTTTCTGCCTTATTTGCCTCAACCTCTTCGTATCTTTTCCTCCCTTACTCTCCCCTCCTACATCTTATACTTTTCCTCTCTTCTCACCTTTCCTCCCTCTCTGCTCACCCTCAAACTGTAGTCACCCTCTCCTGTCTCTTCCTTCTGCTTCCTTTTATCTCTCCTTACTCCTCTCCTCACTTATTCTCCCATTCTTCTACTTTTTATTCCCACCCTCCCTATACCTCAGATTTCTCTCTTCTTTCCTCCTCTCCTCCCCTGCTTCTCCCTCTCCCTATTCAGCTTCCTTACCTTTCTCTATTCTTCCTATATTGATTTCCTATACTTTCCCTTCCTCTCTTTCTCTCTACTTTTATCATTATCCACTCTCCCTTTCTGTTTCTTCTCTCTCCTCACTATTCTCTCTCCATTTCTGCTTTCTCCTTTTTCCTTCCATTTCCCCTTCTTCCCATTCCATCTCCCTCCATTTTCCTCTCCCCTTTCTCATTTACCCCCCACTATCCTTCTTGTCCCTGCACCCTTCCTTCTTTTCTGCTTTACTCCCTCTGTCCAACCTCCTGTTGCCTTCTTCCTCTCCTAATAATCTCCCTAGCCTTGCACTCCCTTTTCTCATCAATCTATTACATCCCATGATCCACTCCCCTCCTTCCTCCCTTTCCTCTCCTTAGTCCTTGCCAGGTTCCTCTCAACACATTTTATCCACCTCCATTCCCCCTCCCCCTTTTCTTTCTCTCCATTTTTCCTTCCATATTCCCTCCCCTTCCTCCTGTCCCTTCACTCTTCCCCTCTCAATCTCTTTTGTTTCTTTCTCCTCTATCCTTCTTATTTCTAATCTTCCTCTCATTTTCCCCTCCCTCTACTCCCCTCTCTCCTCTTCTACTACTCACCCATTTCCTCCCTTCTCCAACACTATCCTGGCTTCATCTTCCTCCCTATGCCCTCTCCTTTGACTCCCTTTGCTTCTCTATCATCTCTTCACCTTTCTATCTCTCTTCATCTCCACCTACTTTTCTCCATTCTCATTCTTGTCCTCCTTCCTTACAGCTCTCCTTTCTCCCTCTCTCTCTCTCCTTCTGCTCTCCCCCTTCCTCTCTCATTTCATCATCTTTGTTTCCCTTTTATCTCTTTTCCCCCACTCTAACTCTCCACTTCTCTCTTTTCCTGTCTCTACCCCAGGCACCTCCTACCTTCTCTTTGTCTCTCTTTCCCCCTCTTCTTCTCTTTTCCCTTCTTCTCTTCATCTCCTATCCTTCTCCATCTCTTTTTTCCTTTCCTTCTACCTACTTTCCTCACTCCTTCACTTCATTGTTTTATAGTCTTTTCTTCCTCTTCTCATCATGTTTTCAACTGCCTCTTTTCTCTTCATCCTTCCTCCCCTCACCTTCCCAGTTTCTCCTCCCCTACCCTATCTCTCTTTCCTCTTTTATCCCTATTACTTTTCTTCTTCCTTCCCCCTCACTCTCCTACTTCTCTACTCGCATTTCTTGCTCTCTGTTTATTTCCTCTTCTCCTTCCCCTTCTCCCTTTTCCTTCCCCTCTCCATTGTACTGTCCTCCTTCTGCCTTCTTTCTTCTCTTCTTACTTTTATTTTCCCTTGAATATTCCCTTGCCTTATTCTTTCTGTCCTCTCACTCTCTTCTTGTGCCTGTCTGTTTCCCCTTCTGTCTCCCTTTCTTAACCCTCCTCTCCCATTTCTTCTTTATGTATTCTCTTTTTCCTCTCCCTCTCCCCATCTCCTTCAGCCTCTCCCTGCCCCATTATTTACTATTCTTTCTCTCTTCTCTTCATTGCCCCTCCCCTGTTCCTCCCACTTCTCATCTCCTCTTCCTATTCCCTGACTCAGCTCTCTGCTGTCTTCCTCTGCTCTCTCTCCTCATTAGCCAGTTCCCTCCCTCCCCCAGTCATCTATCCTTCCTCTTCTCTTCTCCATTCCTACCTCTGTTCCTTATCCCTCTCACTTTTGTCCTTTCCCCTTAGCTTTTCCATTTCCTTTCCCCCTCCCTCTCTTTCCCTGTCCTTCCCCTTGCCCCTCTCATTTTTTCTCCTTGCTGTTCTTATCAGTTATCATCTCATGTTCTCTCCTTCCTCATAACTTCCTCTCTTCCTTGAGCTTCCTCCCCTTTCTCTTTCCACCCCTCCCTCCTCTACCTCTCCTACCCCTCTACATTCCTTCTCCCACTTCTATCTTTTTACACTTCTCTCTTCTCTTTTTCCTCCTCTCTCTTCTGTCATTTCCCCACTCCTTTTCTTCCCCCTCTGTTCCTCCCTCCTTCCTAGTTTCCTTTCCACTAGCCCTCTCTCCATTTCCTCCATGGCCTTGTCTTCTACCTCCTTCTCCTTAACGTCCCTCCCCTCGCCCTCATTACCCTCTTACCTCTTTTCTGCCTCCCTCTACCGCCTTCTCCCTTCCTTTTTTTTCATAACCTCCCTATCCTATCCCTTACCTTACTCCTATCCCAACTCCTTCCCTCCTTTCCTTCTAACTTTTCCCTGTTTCTGCTCACTGTCTTTCCCTCTCCCTATCATTTGTCTCTCTTGTTCTTCATGTCTTCTCTGTCCCTTCCCTTCTTATTCCCTTCCCTTTTTCTTTTTCCCACCGTCTTTGTTTCATTCTATCTCGCTCCCTCCTTCCCTCCTTCTTCTCTCTCTTCTTCTTCTGCCCTCCCTCTCTCCGTCCTGTTTTCTATCCTTGGTCTTTTTCTCTCTCTTCTTCTCGAGAGCTCTCCTCAGTCCTCTTTCCCTCTCCACTACCTTCCCTTTCTCTCCTCCAACCTCCACTTGTCTTCTCTTTTCATGTCTTCTCTCTGTCCCTATCTTGTCCTTCCTCTCGCCATTCCTTCTGCTTTCTCTTCAACTTTCAAATACTCTCTTTCCTGTTACTTCTGCCCTACCCATTCATTTTCTCTGTCCTCCTCTTTCCTTAATCACTCTATCAGCCTCCATGAACACTAATTTTTGTCCCCATTCTCTCCCTCTAACCCACCCCTCTCTCTTATCTTCCTACTCTTTCTTATTTCCTGTCTTACTCACTCCTCTCCCTGTTTCTTCTCTTTACTTTGTGTCTCTCTCTCCATTCCTTCTTTTCCTATCTAGTCACTTCCCTCCTCCCTCCTCTTGCTCTCTCTCTTCCGTTACCCTCTTCCTTCCTCTTTTCTCTTACCCTTTCCCTCTCTTCTCCCTGTTCTCCCCCCCTCCTCTTCCCTCACCCTCCCTCTCCTTCATCTTTTGTACCTCTTTTCTACTTCCTTATCCTCTCTCTATCACTTTCCCTTCTTTGTTCTCTTTCCTCTCCTTTCTGCCAACTTCTCTGTTCCTTTCATCCTCATCTCTACCTCCCATCTCCTTCTGCCTAATCTTCCTCATTTTCCCCTCCCTCTCCCTGTAGTTTTCCACTTCCTTTCTCTTCCCTTTTCTGGTTGTCTTTAGCTACCTTAAATGCACCAAAAGATGGATACACTCTGAATGTAAGGCGTCTTTTATAATATTCCATACAACTCTTTAAAAAATTATAAATTTTAGATACTGTTACTTAATTTCACCCATGGAGAAAAGTGATATATTTTAGACTGTGATGGAGCACACCAAAGTTTATGAGAAAATTTCAGCTACTTAACCAGGCTTGCAGAATTCTAGCTTCGTCCACAATCAGAAAAGTCTTTTGATACTACTGTATAATTTATTTGAGGGGTAATGATATTATGTTCTGATGACTGATGCAATAGTAAAAATTACCATGAAGTATTTTTTTTAATCACCAATAACCTCAATGACAAAAAATTACTGGAATTACTAGTGATTTGAAAAGTTATTTATTCATATCGGACATATAGCCATAGGTGGAAAATATTATCATTTAAAAGGGGGTTTTGATTTATATATCACAATAATATGATACTATCATAAGATTCCAAACAAAATAATAATTTCTAAAGACTGATTTTTTTCTGTCAATAATGTGTGTATGTTTGTGTGCATGTGCATATATGTGTACTTTGTGACAGTCTCTCTGTGTGATCTAGTACTTCATATATAGATCGAAATGATCTCTTGAATAAGCCTCCTGTATGTTGGGATTACCATACCTGGATACAGCTTGAGTGGTCTGTTTTAATTCTTGTGTGTCACTGTGAACAAATTAATTCCTCCTTAAGTAAATATGATTTGAAATTTCAAGGAAGCACTGCAGTTAATATCCTGGGTCTTGGAATTATAATTTAAAGGAATAGTTATTTGAACTGTGTTGTTTTTGTCAAAGTTATGAAACCTAATTAACTGTATAGCATCTTCAAATTTAAGGAACTTAATTTCTACTATTCTGCATGCTGATTTAACCCTTGTAATCTTGTTAGCACTCAAATGTCCTGGCCAGCGGGATATTCAGCAGAGACCCTAGAAGAGGGAATGGTGAATGAATGGACAAGAGACACAAAGAATTGGCAGCAAGACAGTGTTATGATCAAGCTGCAAAATTTTATTTTTCTCAGGTGGGTTTTATAGTAAGCAGACCAGGAAAGTTTCTTTGGGAAAAGATCAGGGGACTGTTGAGTTGCCAAGCAACCCAACCAAGCAACCTAACCACAAAACATTGTTACTAGTGGTCACTGTAGCAGAAAGATAAGGAAATGTTAAGTTATTTTCTAATAACACAGGACTTGTCCAAGCATGTCAAAAGTGTCTAGTTAGTGGTTCAATACTGGACAACAGAAAATTAACTCAGGCAGGCAATATGGCATGGCTCTTGAAATTGTCCTTGGCACTCAAATGCTTCATCTTTAAATTATCAAACCTTTTATCTCAAATACCTTGCTTAATATCTACTTCATATTCCACAATGCTTGAAATGCCCTGTGGTATACTGTTTCTTTTGTTGTCCCTTGGTCTATCATCTGATTCAGAACTCATAAACCTGGGTTGACTTCTTTTGTAATGTCCTTGTTGTTGAGGACTACTTGCCTATTTATAATTTAATTCTTTTCATACCATTTTCCACCTGTTAACCCTAGAGCAATTCTGTCCTAACATGTGGACTCGAAATACGTAATCTCACTGTGTAGCATTGATGGTGACTTTTTGTGTGCTTTCTTTTCTATATTACAGCATAGTTTCTCTATACTTTATTCTTTCAAGACTCCTAAATGACTTTTACAACTTCATTTGCCATTCTGCTATACTTCTTCAGTCAAACCTACTTGATCATCACTTCTGAATCAATTTCTGTCTTCCATATCATTGCTCTCTCCTTGTTATTATGGACTCATCATTTTGACCAATGTGTAGGTGAAATGTGACTTTTTTAATGGATCCTTATCTAGACTCCACACTTAAAATGATTTACGTTTCTCAAATACTTTGTTTATACTTTTGAAAAGCATTTCTGTTATTGACCTTCTGAATTATAAGTATGCTTAATATAATTTCATTATACTACAACACAGATTTGAGTCTCTTGAAGAGATAGATTGATTCATAAGTGATTATCAAGTAGATTTGACTGAAGCAAAAATATAGTAGAGTGGCAAATGAAATATGAAAGGCAATTGGGAGTCTCGAAAAAGCAGACATGTAGACGTTTTCTGAAATACAGAATTGCTAATCTAATTTGTTTGGTATCTGCAGCACCTAATTTAATGCCTAACATAGGCTGTTATTCAGAAAAAAAGGAAAAATAAAAAAATGTTAAGTAATCCCCAGATTCAGTCCTCAACACCACAAAAGAAAGAGAGCAAGAACACAAGAGGACACATGGGCGAGCTGGGAAAGGGGTGGGAAATGGAGATGGGAGAATGGAAGTGGGAAAATGTTTAAAAATACATCATTTAGAGAACAAAAATTACATTCTGGGGAGAAATGCAGCTTGGTCAAATTCATAAAAACAGGACCTCAGCATAAATTACCATCATATTAATAACTTTCCCTGTGTTAAGGAAATAAAGGTAATGTAGAAAAACTGTCTCAATGCAAACTGGTATAGCCTAAATGAGCCAGATAGCAGTTTGCATTGAGGACTGAATCTGGGGACTTGTATACAATAGGCAGATTATCTACTGCTGTACTGTATTTCCAATTCATTTTGTTACTTTCTATAAATTTTGAGACAGGATTCTGGATGAATCGCTCCGAGTAACCTTGAACACACAGTGTAGCTCAGGCTGAATTTGAATCTGAGAGCTAATTGTTAAGCTTCCCAATTAGCTGGGATTATAGCCTATAGCCACCAGATTCCACCTTAAGATCTACCTTCTTAGCAACTCAGAGTTATGCAGCTTACAAAAATTTCTGTTTCTGAGGACCATTATTGTGAAATATGGTTTCCACTTGCCTTATATATGCCAATCAATGATTTCTTCTTGTTGTTTCATTCTCCTGTTATTTATGTTTTTATTTTGTAACTTGATAAAAGTGTATCAATACCCTAAACAGAAGAAAAAATTTATTTTTATTTGAAGATACTTTAGCTATAACAAGTCAGTAGTATTTTTTTTCTAGAAGAGTAGAGCACATTGTGATAAGTAAGGCTTTTTTGTCAGCCTAGCAACTTCCTTCTGCCACTATAAAAATCATTTCCCTAGTCCACACTTAAGAATTGCTAAGAAGAAAAATGTCACTTTAATGAGCAGATTGAATGAGTCATGAGCTTAACATTTTCAGAATTAAATATATAGTAAATAACATCAATCCAACATATCTTTAAAGAAACCATAGTTTCCTAGGTCAAAATACAACCAGAATATCTTCAAAAAACAAATTGGTACATAAATGTGCTGTCAGTGAGATTCTATTTTTTCCTCACATCCACAGTACTGTTTTTTAAGCCCAAGTTGAATATTTCACTATGGCAACATGAAATAAATTACCCTGCATCAGCCTGAAATAGAAAAATTCTAACATATATATGATATAGTAAGCAAAGACATCAGTATAAAGTGTCAAAGAGAAAAGATCTCTTGTTGATTATTTGCTGCAGCCTGGTTTGAAAAAGGAACTGTTTTGGCTCAGGACTAGTGCTGCCTTTCCATCTCACATTCTCTCCCATTAATAAGATACCACAATGCTGAGATTTCTTTACTGTACTTGCCACATATTCCACACTAAAAATACATTTATTATTACTTAATATACTTAACAAATTATATTTAAAGTGGAGAGGGTCCTGGATTTTATCTTGCAAATAAAACCTATCTGAAGGGAAATACTGACTATATTCCTATTTCTGGGAGTCAGAAAATGCATGTGTCCTCTCCTCCTGCCGGCTCCTAAAGCCAGACACTTAAAAGACATGTTAGAGACCAGACTATTCCCTTTTGGCACCTTTCTATCATTATCTGCCTTCAGTTGTTAATACTATCATCCTAGGCTCAGCCCTTTTTTGTCTGGGTGTTTGTAGTAGCTTTCTTAGTGGTCTCTATGCTTCTTAACCTTGTATTCATATCCTCCAAGCTGTTCGAAGTCTTTTCTCTACTGTCTTCCCCCATCTCCTCTGCACATTGTTTTCTAGCCATTCTTGTATGCTATTTTATTTCTTATTTCTGTCTTGATTACAGTAGCTTAGAATAATCAACCCTCTCATGTTTGCCTGGAACTATATTCCTACTCTACTTCACCTGATCACTTTACTTTAAAGGCTCCAAGGTCTCCAACAGTAAAAGCTGTTTCTTATTACTGTGCACTTTGTCAGCTAATAAGTCTTCAACACTGCTTTTCTCATACTCAGAACCTTTCTAAGAACACTGCAGTGGGTTAGTGTTAATTTGTCAGAGAAAATCATAGTGCTAGAAGGCTTTATAGTGATACATGCTGCTTTGTCCATGTAACAAAGTCATCACTGTTGAAGGCAGAGTGCCCTTTTGCCAGGACTTTGTTGAGGAGTCAAGAGATAATGCTGGATCCAAAGTACAGGCTAATGCAGCAGGAGAAAGTGGATGGGAACTTGGAGAAAAGTCTCAGTAAGGTTTTTATCTTTATTATTTTTCATTTACCTAGATTTGGAAAACTGGAAACCTCGTTTGCCAGTATATATGAAAACTGAGGCAAATACCATAGCTTGTTGTAAAATAAATTCCAGTATGAAGAACACAGGAGGAAAAGCTATCCTTTTTAATAGTATGTGGCTATAATTTTTTTAGCAAGCTATATAAAGAAGGAGTCCAATTGACAGAGTCAAAGGAGAGTCACCATTAAGATTTTAAATTCAGCTTTTAGTTGGAAGCATGGCTTAATATTAAAAAGATAACCATAGAAAAACATTCTGCTTCTTCATATATCCTCTACCTTTAATGCACCTTTGAATGTGGGCAATCTTTAAGAATCAGGTTATAGATGTATGCTTTATTTCCTTTAATAAGGCTTCTGGGCATCATCTAAAAGAGTAACTTTCAACTCTGGCTACAGTTTAAATTCACCTGGGCAATGTATAAGAAATTTGGATATCTAAGACCCAGCCCAGAGCTTCTAGTATGGTATGGAGGAAGACCCTGAACTATGGTATTTTCTCAACTCTACCCTGTTGCTAGAGTTTTCTTGCCTTGCCCACAGTCAGGACAAATCTCTGTCACCCGCCAGTCCCACAGCCGCTCAGACCCAACCAAGCAAACACAGAGACTTATATTGCTTACAAACTGTATGGCCGTGGCAGGCTTCTTGCTAACTGTTCTTTTATCTTAATTAATCCATTTCCATAAATCTATACCTTGCCACGTGGCTGGTGGCTTCCCGGTGACTTCACATGCTGCTGGTCATGGCGGCGGCTGCAGTCAGTCCTTCTGCCTTCCTTGTCCTTTTATTTCTCCTCTCTGTTAGTCCCGCCTATCCTCCCTGCCCAGCCACAGCCGATCAGGTTTTATTTATTGATCAATCAGAACAACTTGACATACAGACCATCCCCCAGCACAGCCAAGTGCAGACCATCTCAGACACCTGCACTCAGG